CCTAGAGAGTCTATAGACTAACAGGGCAATCAACTGGATGAAATAAATAGGACTTGTGGTATCTGGATTCTGGATATAGGGATATACATGTATACATACATGTTAATGGACACATGAAACCTACGGCTTTTTGGCTTCCAGCTTGTATTGTGGCCATGCAACGGGGACATTGACGAATCGGGCCTACATCGGCTTGAGCTCACACATGAGGCAGGGCCGGTTTCGTGATCCGGAGGTCGCAAGTTCAAATCCAGCCACAATCAATTTATTTTGTTCAGCCTTGTGTTTAATTTCAATTCACAAACCGTGCACTAACAAAAATCGTCGTACGTACCTTTAACATGAGCAAAGCCTATGCATTTACCTGCAAACCGTACTCATTTGATATTTTCCACACACACACAAAATCCAATGCACAGTCTGAAACCACGCAGATATCATAAAAGACATGGCATCGTGTGACTACCCCTCAGTTTTGAGTGACAGCCTGAAGTGCCATAAAAATAGACGGGGAAAAGCCTTCATCTTGAAATATCAGACAGGAGAACACAGGGAGGCAGCGGAAGCAATTAAAGAAAAGGTCGGAGCGAAAGGTACGCCCGATGGAAAAGAACCTCCCATTCCAATCGCAGTTAATACAAACCGCAAGGGAGCGGTGAAGGATGAGATTAAACCGAGGCGAGTTCCGATCGAAGTGACAAAGTATTAATACAATTATGCTTATAGGAACTTTGAGACGTGTTGGTGTGGGCTCGCAAGTCCTTCCGAACAGCCGAGGGAGAAAAAAAGTGGGTCTAGGCGGCCTGTCATGCGGATCTCCCCCTCTGCCCCATCTCTGGACCCGAGTTCTCCCCCCCCCCCCTGCAATCCTATCCCGTCGGGGACGCTGTATGTCATTAATTTGCGTGAACAAATTAAACCTTTTTGCACACCGAAACGTTTCGATTTCAGCGATGACTCCTCTCTTCCCGTTTCCTCCGCGGCCAAATATCGGCCAGATGTGGCCAGAAATGGACTCCACATTTGTCTAGTTGCGCGTAAAGGCCTCAAGCCGGTGCCTGTGCGGTTGTGTGTACTGCGGTGGATCATGAGCCGGCACATGCACCCCTTGATCGCACGCTAGGGCCGGGGTCCGCCATTCTGATGGTTTCCTATATACACGAGACCAGCCCAATCTGTTCCCCGGTCGAGTGTAAGGGGGTTGAGGTTATGAGGAACGTACTGCACCGGTGTGTTGACATGCTATCCAACAGGAACACCGTAAATAGGAGGAGAGGGTTCATATTTTTTACTTGAGACATGTAAGCTAATGAGTCACAATGCGTAACATACTCCAGTTATTCTGTAAATATAGTAACTGGGCAATTGGCCTACTAATGATAGTTCAATTTAACTTTTAGATTTCAAATTCTCATTTGAAAAATAGTACCCGACCGTGCATTGTTTAGTCAGTTTAGTACCTGTCTTATATTAATTCCTGGTTCAGTAATGAAATTTCAAATACAAAATTTGATCAATGCTTTAATAGGTTTGGTATGGCGTAGAGTACATAGACCAAAATACGCATGTGTTCTGCCACCATAGTTTGTTTATAAACCGAATTAATCTTTAATTAAAAAAGGGTCCAAAAATCATTGGTCAACAAATAGCGTCATGTGCAATGGTGCTTAGCTGTAGTTTAAACCGAACAAACTAATTGTATCGCTAACACGTTTGAATACACCTGTTTGGTATTACGTTTAATTGATTGGCCGGGTGGGGAAGTGAGTTATACGTATACGCACAAACGATGTGCTGATTATAGAATGAAAACAATCTGCGGCATATTACTGCCAAATTAGGGAGCTATAAACATACTAGTTTAATTTAGTTCGAATCTGAAGAGGGTAAAGAATGGTCTCATTATTTTCTTTATTGATCTGCGTTCACGAAAATCATTCGACCTTCGCCCTTAATCTTTTATTCGGAAGTCAATATTGAAACTGGTAAAAGAAAACAGACTATACCGAAACGTGGAGGTATTTTTTGTAATGTCAAGCGCTTTTGGGGGGTGGGGGTTGCTGGGGTTAGCAGTGCTTTTCACCAGAACTCCGTTTTCAAATTTTTTTTTTTTTTTTTTACAGGTCAAAATGATTATTCGTACAGCAAATGGGTTGTCGGAAACATGTGAGATGTAACCGCCTCTAAATTGGAGGAAACGCTTCTCGGCTAAACGTGATTATCGGCGAAGGTCCCAATTTACGCCGAGTCATGATTGGATGTGAAAGTTGGCAGAAAAGGGCTGATTGTACGATCGGCGAATTAAATTGAATCAAAAACGTGGTTAAGCTGACATTCAATTTCATGCAATTCACGGTGGATTATGATCTCGCAGAGAGATTGGATCATGATAGGATGATCGATGGATGCGGCATTTGTTTTCAATCTCAAGCAAAAAAAATCACCTCATGCCAACAATCACGGTGTTAAGCGCGCAAAGGGCAGAAACGCTGATGAAAGGTACCTGTAAATTGAGACAAATTGGGTATAGATGTAAGTGGGGAAAAGTGAGAATATTGATGACTTCATTGAATTTGAAGCCCCGCCAAGGAAATTTTAGGCTCGAACATCTTGTCCCTGAACTGACTAAAATAGACTTCATCAAGCGCCGCAACAGGCTGGCTGTCAACTTCTCATTCATCATGCCCCTTCTTGCACAGAAGAATAAAGGTTTAACTTTGTGAAACAAGGACACAAACTGAACTTGAGCTGAAAGTGAGAAGCAGTAAAAGTATGTAATTCATTAACATATTTTTTTAAATTCAGGTCTTTTGTTTCAATTTAACATCGAAACAGGTGGACAAGAGACGTTTCTCTCCATAAGCTAGTTCTTTGTTAGGGTTTTTTTTTCGCAAGAAAATGTTATACCTCAAAAAATATATGCACCTTTCAGAACCATTTTCCTCAGAGTCGACAGAGCATTATTGTCCTCGACCGTTCCAGACGGCCAATTTCTCTCCAAACTAGAACTTCTCTGAGTCGCATCACACAAGAGACGGAATGGCACACTATGCCATCCACACAACTTTCATTCCACCTTAGAAAGCCTCCAATCATGTCAAATTCATAGAAACCTTTCAATCGAAACAGGTCGGAAAATTGACTTTAAAAAAAACTCGAGGTTCCGGTCTGGCTGAAAGGCTTGCTGTGATTTCATTTAGAGAAACCATAAGGTTCCATGGTTAAACTGTCCACGCATGACTTCCGGTGCTGCGGTGCACTATACACCCATGGAGAAGGGACCGGACTGGCTCGAGCCGAGATGCGGCCGATCCGCAGCGAGCGACGGGCGCCCCCGCCCCGTATAGACTGCTACGATCCGGCCGCAAATCTCTTCACAGGGGCCAGGCATTGCGCCACACACGGTCAGGGAGTAGCTATTTTGGGTGCCCTCCCGCCAGCCCGTTAATTAATAACCGCCCGACAGGTGTATTTTGGGGCTTCTCCTTGGCCACAGTGAGCGGTGTTCTGAACTTTTTGACCCATTGGTGGTGGTGACTATGTACCCTGCCTGGGACAAGAGCACACATCTTCGATGACACCATCACATCAATTATATCACACATGAATGAAAGACTGATTTGTAGTTCAGTTTTCAGGCAATGTTATCGCTCATGTCAGACTTTTAGTTTAAAAGGAAAACCATTTTTCCAAGCAGTTACACTTCCAAGAATGTGCAGAATAATTGGCTCTGCCTCTAGTGTGAAAGAGCTATGACCCACAGTATGGTATGAGCATAGCTCTATGGTATGAGATTGGCAATCAACACGGCGAGCAGTAGCTATAATCCTTTTTGCAGCGGTAGCATTATCAGATAACAGACCATAATGCATGTCTTTGTTTATTTGAATATTATGGTTAATTACTAATTACCTAACGAAGCAGGCGATTAAAGTAACTGATCTTCCCGCTTGTGCTTATTTGCGGTCAAACAGACTGAGGCTACATCCGAATCAGCTGTCTAGCGCTAGGTCTAGGTCTGCACCCATTGAAAATACGCGGGGACGCGCTAACAAAAGACGTAGCCGTGGCTCTGGAAGTTGTGTGTACAAGTTGTTCGTTTGTTCGTGGTTGTACTACAACTACGAACAAACGAACTGGTAAACTGCTTCATTAGTCTTCAGACATTCAAATTTCATTGAATATTTGTGTGGCACATAAAGGTAAAGGTGACGTCCATGTCTGCAGCTTGCTACCCACAAAATGTGGCAAGACTGGACAAGTTGAAGTTACTTCTTATACCATATAACGTCTTACATTAATATTTTGCGAGGGAGAAGAGAACTTTGAGCTAAAGTGATCAGTTGTTCATTACAATGAGGTTGTACATTCAGGCAACTTCAAGCCAACGTAAGTTCCCAAGCAGGCTGAAGGTTTGATTAATTGTAATCGTAAGATTAAATTGGTGTGTAACAAAAGAATCCATGAAATGATCACGCAGCTCAAAACAATGACCCGCTGACAACATAAAACAGTCACACCATGACTTTCCTCTCCTCACACAGCCTCACCGTGTGTGCACCGTGCAACCACAGCCGCTTGCACTGCGCCTGCGCCGAGCTGTCGTCTGCCGGCTCTGTCAAGCGACTGGATTGGCACCTGCGTTGTTGCTATTAGGCAACTTGGCCACGCCCCTATTGCCGTAACGGTGTATATTCATGGCGAGGCCCGTCCGGTCGGTCAGCATTCTAAATGCCACTCACTGCAACGGTGCATGCCCGTGCGGAAGGTTGGGTACCGGGTACTGTACAGGAATCGGTAGTAATACTAAGTACAGTAGGGCATGAGACTTTTTGCACATTAGCGTGTGTGCACTCACTCTACATCATAGCTGAAGTTTTGACCTGTGCTACAGTTGTGTGTGTGTCGCTGCGTAGCACGTGGCAAGAACACTAGGGTTTCGGTTTTTCGTGCGCAGACTTGAAAGTTTCCAATTTTCTCCACTTTTCGTTACTTTGCAGAGCAACTTCAGAAGAGACAGTTTACAGCTTGCCAGCTGGGGCAGGGATATATCGGTCCGACTTTTGCTACCTTGTCTACTCCTCCTCCTGGCCCGAAGAGCATCGAGTGGGCCAGCTCGCCTCCACAGCCTCCGTCGCCTGCCACACCACCGAGAACGACGGCGGGTCTCAGCCGGGCCGCCGCTGCGCCGACCCCCGTGCCGGTCAAGCTGACTATGGTCCCTGGTGCCATGAAGATGGAACCGGACGACTCGCGATGCAGCAGCAACAACCTCAATCGCCACACCGACAACCAGTTCACCGTGGTGGGGATGATGAACAAGCACAGCAACAGCACGGTGACCGGGGATCACCACCTTCACCACGATAAGTACGAGTGCCTAATGAACGGGAACGATGTCCTCAAACAGCGGTACATCCAGGGCAGGAAGCGGCGCCACAGCCGGGGCGCGGGCTCCAATGACGATGAGCATTCAGACGGCAGTGAGGAAGGCTCTCTAAACGGCAACTGCAGCGGCTCCAAAGTCCGCCGGAAGGGCTCCCCTCCTCAGAACTTTGACGATCTCCAGAACCAGCGCATCATGGCCAACGTGAGGGAGCGTCAGCGAACGCAGTCCCTGAACGACGCCTTCACGAACCTCCGGAAGATCATCCCCACCCTACCCTCGGACAAACTCAGCAAGATACAGACTCTGAAGCTGGCCTCGCGGTACATTGACTTCTTGTATCAGGTCTTGAGGAGTGATGAGACGGACCAGAAGATGATCGGCAGCTGTTCCTACATGGCGCACGAGAGACTGAGTTATGCCTTCTCCGTGTGGAGGATGGAAGGAGCGTGGAACAGTATGGCTCAACATTAACATCGACTCAACTAACAAGTACGGGATCCCATGGATGAAAACGGTAAGTCAACTCTTATTTTCAAAAAATGCACTATAAATTTTTCTCTTTTTTTGTGACAAATTTTCACTGAAAAACCATGAAAATCATCTTTCCCATCACAGAAAACAGTTTTTATTACTAAGCACGCCAATTTTGAAAGATACGGCTTCGTAATTGAAAAAGAAAAGCAACTTATGGCAAAAGTCAGTTAGTTCAGCTTTTGAATGTTGAATATGTTGAATGTGAACATTATTTTTTTTTTTTAAATTCGCAAATGAATGCTTCGCGGCTTCGTTACTTGCATGTTCGGTAATTGGGAGTAGTTATGTAAAAATATTCGTGTGATTTTATTTTACAAAATGTTACAACTATAACATTTACAACCTTTAAAAAACTATTCCCTTTGTCCCGATTCTCGAAGATATTTTGTGACGGTTGTCTTGCTAAGCTTATCATCATTGATGTCATAACAAAACAAATCGGTAGTTTTATCCAGCAATGCCCGGGCTCACCATATCATTTCTATAAACTGAATTGCATCCGCATTTGATCATTTATCAAGTTGTATTTACCATCGCATGGCCTCCATCATTTCTCAAATCTCATCATTTCCAGTCGCGGCTGTCAATAGAAATGTTTTTTTTTTATGTTGGTATCATGGTTCCCTAGTTCTCGCACCGCGGTTTACTGGGATGATTAATTTAAGTGTCATGCAGTCCTTGTGAAGCACTTGCCCATTTTGTCGCTATTGCTCACGAGGTGTTTCAAGCGTTCTGCTGACAAATTTATTGTCCAGCAATGTTTTGAACGTGCGCACGGCTCAGTGGATGGCATGTGCCGATCGGCCGTCAAATGCCATGGCTTCCCTTATGCCATACCAATAGGCCTAATGTGAAATATCTCTAACCTTAAAGGTAATTTCCTAGGAAATATCTAACCTTAAGACTAATATTCTAGGAACATCCTATTAATATCCTATTAAACCTACTACAACTTGCTGCAGCGCTATTTGATTTGTGACTATGAAGTGCTCAACTTTAGCATGTTTTATAGTAATAGCAATACACGTTGTGATAGCCGACCCAAATTGTTACAAAAGGTCTCTAATGGTTTGGCAATGGTAGTGTTTTGACCAAAAATTGTGAAGCTCTATGAAATTAGTTTTCACCTCCCAAAGATATATCTTCACTACTTGTAAAACTAAATCGTGAACTCCGTAGATAGCTGTTCTTGTTAATATACACAGAGGATTATGTCAAAGTTAATGCATTATTATCGTCGACACAGATTTTTATAAAGAGAGGGATAACCTGCGCATAATGGAGTTACCAGATGTTGGATCAATTTGAATTAGCCAAGCCCGTACAATTACTGTCCACTGACAGCGGAATCCACCTGAACAAATCACTAAAAGTCTCTCTCGTGTGCTTAAATTCAGAGGCTTTAAGCAATCATTGCATCTTTCTGTATTATTAAAGGAAGATAGAATTGCAAATATGATATCATAGTAGTAAAGTAGTGATCATGATTTAAGTCCATTATCAGCTGTTTGACTGAAGTTAAAATACTTCGCTTACGACAGACTTCAAGTCAAACTTGATTATCTTTTAGTGTATTGTTGGGCTGTTTCTTTCAACATACAGCTAATCCCTCTGTACGAAGTCGAGACTCGCTATGTTTACTTAGAAAATACAGCGTGAATGGTGCGATTCAGTGTACATTGCTCAACACCTCGCACCAAGATACCACTTTTGTGAATCATTAATGTCTCGTTTTACGTTGAACCACAAACTCGGACTATTATGACTTGCTTGTGGGTGTAGAAAATAATTCAATTATCTCAACTTACCGTAAACCACTGACAACTTTCAATGCACTTGCTGGTGGGTGTAGAAAATAATTCAATTATCTCAACTTACCGTAAACCACTGACAACTTTCAATGCTGATAGTGATAACATCAAAGTACAAGAAGAGATAAGCCAGAGTGTCCATTGATTTCCTTTATATCAAGTATGAGTCCATGACTTCACTTGGCAGTTTGATGTAAACTCTGACGATGAAAGTTTGCAACTTTCGACATGAGAGCACATGCTCTGTGCATCGCATCACCGGGGATAGACGTGAATTTAGTTAGCGGGGATGACACAAAACTAATTATAGTAACACATGTGTACTGCCCTCTGAGTTAGCCGCGGGAATGTAATTCACATGTTCCCAGAGCGCCTTAATGAAAGCACTTGTAGTTGTACGTGTGTCATGTTCTAAGTTTACTACTCTATGCTACTCCCAATGCTATGGCCAGGAAACGTGTAGATTTATGCAGATTGCAAAACTGGAATCTCATTAATAATTTAGCTATCGCACTTTAGGGAGCATCATCTCTGATTACGTGACAATTAGTTGGGAATGGCGGGAAACCCCGGTTCTCGTCGTCATGGTGACGAACATGGCGAGGAAGGAAATATCCAATCACTTGCATCTTTTCTCGCAAGACATGACAAATCAAAACACGAGCCCTCATCTCTCGAATGCAAAGAAAGAGGGAAAAAATGGAAAATTGAAGCAAGATGTGTGCCGCACGTAATCTCCGTTCCAAATCGCATAAGTTGTCAGTGCCAGCAATGACTCAATATCAACTAGTCTGTACATGGATGTAGACTTTCCAGAAACAGCTGACAGTTTACAACTAACAAGGCAATGTAAATGATGTCACCATTACTTTTGGTACAACCGAATTGCAGGGGAATGTCTATGGTGGATGACAAGATAAAGATGTCCCTCAAGTGTTAAGTGTCTGTAAAACGTCTTCGATGCTCAATCGTTGCTGTCAGAAACCCATGATAATCCGGTAGCCGAAAATCGGTGACTCAATCTTCTAGGGAGTGCAGTAACATAGTGCACTGATTTTCAATTCCCATTCGCCAGACAAATTCACATGCTTCCACCACAGAGTTAAAAAATAAAGGACTTTTCCTCGGTTAGGTTCAAGCTTACAGACTAATTACTCCTTTTTGAGGGACGATTCCATTGTGCTCATCATGGTATATTTCTGTGTCTATTTCGCTTACTTCGAGTTGTAGAGAAACCACAACATAAACTTCACAACCAATAACTCATCACGGTCCTCAAACCAAATGTACCCGCTGGTTGTGTTTTAATCAGACTACTTTTTTTTCTGTTTGGGGAAAAAAAACTCTCCCAGATAGTAGTTACACTCACCCGTAGCAAGACCCTGATCATTACAGAGAAGCATGACAATTCGACCAAACGGTGCTGGAATTTCAGACGCTCAAGTCCGCAAGCGATAATGGGAGCTCTCTCATAATACTAAGATTTTGGCAGAAGAAAGACGAGCTACCCAACAAGCAAAGAGGAGGTCATGACACGAGTCGTGTGGCTCGAGGGGGGAGAAGGTAAAAAGAGAAAGGGAAAAAGCTCAGAGAAGAGCCGTGAAAATAATGATCTTTGTAAGGTAATACCAATTTCCTTGGCAGCCTTACGGGTGATAACTGGCAGCGCCGATGGACGCGGTCAGTCAACGCGGGCCGCAGCCTCGTGGTATCTGCACCTATAGCGCGTCAAGGGGAAATATTTGGACCGTGGATTGGGGTTCCTGGCATGCCGAAGGTGCTGGCAGTACACCCGGGGAGACCTTCGGTGGTCTCTTCCCTCACTCGGTCTTCCTGTTCCTCGCCGGCCAGGCGAGAGTTGAATTTCAAGGTGGGAAGCATAACACATCGCCGTGCCGCGGAGAGATTGATGCCTATAAACAGCTATAACCAAGCAGGATTTAAGGTGTTCACTGTGGATTGTGAATTACTTTATAAATAGGATTTATTTTAAGCTGAAGTAACGGGGGAAATAGTATCAATATACGCCAGAGGTTTCTCTGAATTCGACATTTTCACGGCACAGATATAACTCTCTTTTCCTGTTGATTATCCCGAAGTGATTTTGATGAGCTTCCTTATAGCTTATAAAGTTATATACTTATTCCTCATACATGAATATATGTTTTGCGTATTCTCAAACGCAGTGTTTCAATGTTTGAGTTGTAAAGAACATGTTTAATATAGCCTGCTGTGTTTTCATGTAGAAAGTACATGTATACAACATGTACTTTCATGTAAGAATAAGTGTGCTGTGCCAAAGATGACATAAAAAAAACCTGACCGCATTGGCTAACTTTCCCAAATCAGTCAGCGCACGCTATTATTCCACGACTCTTAATTAAGTAGGACCCAGCAGACTATTTTTACTTATTCAACAATGCCAAGCTGTAACCCATTAAAAAAAAATTACAAAAAGATTTTAGCAGTTATCAAATTTAGCAGAGATTTTCTTACCTGGATCCCTTGAGGCCGTTGGTCCGGCGCTGAGACCAAATTGTAGCTTGATGGGTTTCTGAGAATCCCCCGCTGGTATGAGCATGGGGCGCACGATGCCGTCTGACCTGTGTGGCTGAAAACATGCAAATTGTTAATGTCAAGTGCTATGACCTTTGACCTTTAACACACGAAGTGTGCTACATTAAACTCCACAGATAACACAGTGGTGCATGGGTTCACTGACAAATTTAATTAAATGTAATCAAACAACAATAGAAATGTCAAAAATGGAAAGTTTTGAGGGAACCCTTATTTGCCACAAAGATTTTGATTCTAAGTGAAACTTTACGGCCCACAATTTAGGGACAACCTTTGGGTGTGAATACTTTCATTTTTTGATCAATTTCAAGAAAAGTGACAGAATTTAAAAAAAAGAAAAAAAAAAAGAAGTGTCTATTACCTCAAGTTTTGTTATTAAAACATAAAGCAAGGAACAGAGTTGAAAAAACGAAAATGAGGTTTTATTCAGCTATATCATTATCAGAACAGTTCACTTAAGATATTTTTTCTCCTTTATGACCCAAAAAAATCAGTAAACGGTAAACACTCAATATTTAAAGTTAGGTTATGCCTTAGTAGGATACCTTTTAAAATCGAAACAAATAAATGACATACAGTAATTATGAGTATT